GACGCATCGAGCTTCTCTCTCTCCGACGCCTCAAGCTCTCTCCCTCGACGCCTCAAGCTCGAGCTCTCTCTTCTCACTCCATCTCGAGCTCTCTCTCTCTCTTCTCTGAAGCAAACCCATCTCGAGCTTCTCTCTCTCCGACGCCTCAAGCTCTCTCCCTTGACGCCTCAAGCTCGAGCTCTCTCTTCTCACTCCATCTCGAGCTCTCTCTCTTCTCTGAAGCAAACCCATCTCGAGCTTCTCTCTCTCCGACGCCTCAAGCTCTCTCCCTCGACGCCTCAAGCTCGAGCTCTCTCTTCTCACTCCATCTCGAGCTCTCTCTCTTTGAGGTAAAAGTCTATTGTTCTCTCTCTCTTTGTTCTCTATCTTTTAGCTCTGTTTTATTGTTCATTGTGATGGTTTTTGTGTGATCTTGATTGTGATGGTCTTTCTGATAGCAAAGAGGATCTACCTCAGCTCGAGCTCTCTCATCTCCATCTCGTGTTCTCTCATCTCTCATCTCCTCCGAGGTAACTAAGACAAAAAGAAGCTGTTTTTTGTGTTTCATGAGTACATGTATATGCCACTTTAGACATTAGACACGTAAGGCGTACATACTACAGTATTATATCATTCATATACACAGACAATCTCCCCATGTTGCTAATAATAATTTCATGCTTCTTCTCCAAGCAATTTTAAGGTTTAGTCTTTGTTGACTTAAGTGGTTTCGTGTACTTTGAGTAAGGAAGAGGTAATCTGTATCCCGAGGATTAAAAACTACAATACACATTTGCATATTGTTTGTGCCTATTATATGTATTTTTAAACCTCAGGATGCAGATTACCAGTTCCCCACCAAGTACCATAATCTTCATCTTCTTTCTTGTGTTGCTCTATGTATGGATGACTTTGCTGTCTTAATGACTTTGTTTTGTGTCGCTTTGTTTCTGGTATCTTAATGACTTTGTTTTGTGTCTTTTTGTTTCTGGTATCTTAATGACTTTGCTGTCTTAATGATTTATTGTGTATTGTTAGGTAATTTGATTACTAATGATGTTTTATTCAATGGTTTTGTAGATGCTTAAAAGATGGATATTGGAAGATGAGGATGATGATTATGAAGATGAACTTGGTTTGTTTGATGTGACTACTATTGAGAGATTGAGTCACATAACAGATCAAGGAGCGGGATGGCGTCATGTTCAACAACTTATGTATGAATCTGATCGGCAATGTTATGATATTCTTCGAATAAATCAAAGAACTTTTGAAGCTTTGTGCAAGATGCTAGCTCAGCGATATGGATTGAAAGAATCTCACAATGTCTACCTTGAGGAATCTGTTGCAATGTTTCTCGAGACTGTTAGTCAAGATAAGACTAAGAGGGTTATTGCTGCAAGGTATCAAAGATCATTGGATACAGTACAAAGGAATCTTGATGAGGTTTTGAGTGCTATTCTCAAGTTTGCAGCAGATACATTAAGACCACAGGAAGGCGAGTTTGGAAAAGTAAGTCCTGTTTTGAGGAATGATGATCGGTATTGGCCTCATTTCAGAGATTGTATCGGAGCACTTGATGGAACCCATGTCCCGGTTCGCCCTCCAAGTCAAACCGCAGAAGCATACAGAGGCANACTTGATGGAACCCATGTCCCGGTTCGCCCTCCAAGTCAAACCGCAGAAGCATACAGAGGCAGGAAGCAAGAGCCTACAATGAATGTTCTTGCTATATGTAACTTCGATATGAAGTTCATATATGCATATGTCGGTGTACCTGGTAGAGCACATGATACAAAGGTCTTGACTCATTGCGCGAGGAACGAGGCTTTTTTTTCCACATCCTCCTCCTGGAAAGTATTATTTAGTTGACTCTGGATATCCGACCAGGACAGGGTATCTTGGTCCGCATCGTGATATGCGATATCATCTTGGTCAATTTGTTACAGGAGGACCACCAGTTAGTGCACGAGAGCTGTTTAACCGAAAGCATTCAGGTCTGCGATCAGTGATTGAGAGGACATTTGGAGTATGGAAAGCAAAATGGAGGATTTTGGATCGTAAGCATCCAAAGTATGGCCTGGTTAAGTGGATTAAGTTGGTGACAGCGACGATGGCGCTATACAACTTCATACGTGATTCACATCGGGAAGATCATGATTTTGTACATTGGCAAAGTGGTGATGATGGAGAAGGAGGAGAAGAAGCTGATGGTGATGAAGAAGAAGGTGATGATGATGATGATGATGATGATGATGATGATGGTGGTGGCGGTAGTGGTGGCCATATTATATATGAGCCGAAAGGTGATAGAGCGATGGAAGCTTTGCGTGATAACATCACAAATGAATATGGTAGAGGCCGTTTACCATATTAAATGTTTTAGTTAATAATTTAGTTTTTTTTTTGCTTATAACTTTGATTATCATTTGAATTTGATATTTATTTAAGACTTGATGTGTTTTTTTTATCAACCAATTTGATATAATATTGAGCTTTTGTTTCTGATAAATATTTTGAAGTATTATTTTTTTCTAATTTAGCTTATGATTTATGAAAAAATTTGTAACATTTGTATAATTGACCAAAAATTCATTACCAAGTAAACATAATATTTTAATAGATGTAAATATATTTGAACTATATTTTATTTTTTTAAATACAATTTTACAATTTTTTTAACATAAAATATGAAAAAATGAAATAGACACAGCGTCTATCAAACGAACAATCCAACATATCAGCGTCAGCGTCGGCGTCGGCGTCAGCGTCAACTTTCGACGTCTTTTAAACGAACAATAATCTGCGGCAGCGTCAGCGTCGGCGTCGACGTCTGCAAAACGAACAACAACTATTTTCATTGACGCTGACGCCGACGCTGACGCCGACGCCGACGCTGACGCTGAAACCCGCGGCAACCAAACGAACAGGACCAAAGATTAACTCCAAATGCTCCATACTCTCCAAAATTTAGAAAAATTTACACTTGGAGGTACTTTTCCATTTTCCTATTACATTCTAAACCACTTAATGCTTGAAGCACACATTATCATGTCAAAAAGACTTTAATACCCTTAAAAATTTAAAATAAACACATCGTTGAGTTATCCTTATTTGACGTTTTCTAGTTGGTAAAACAATGTCGGCTAGGTCACGAGTCTTTCAGATCTAAAAAATAAATAAGAACATGGGAAAGAAAGATAAGAACATCCGATTGAACACCAGTGAAAGTTGCTTGGGTTATCTGTGTCTTCTAACAACTGGGGTTTCCAAATATAGCTACTGATCGACGACGGTGTACGGTCGAATCCGTCAGGTCGGAGATGTCCCCGCGGCCAACAGACGCCAGAATCCATGAGTAATCCCGACTCACGAAACCCTAACCGCCATAATCACTAAGAAACATGTCGCCTCACAAGTCTGAACCAACATGTGCTTCTCCGTCAATCCGGCCAAGGGAGATAACACACGAACAAGAAGCAGTCCCGGAGAACCGCCAGAAATGCACTCTCTCCCTCAACAAGCGCTAAAAAACCTAAAAGACCCCGATGGCTAACATGAGATCTCGACCTCAACTCCAACATCCTCTAATAGAGTATTCCGACCGAGGATCAGTAGAGCCGCGAGATCTGCAATAGCGAAGCCTAGAAGTCGCCGGTCTAGAGACCATACACGGCAGAGAAGAGAGATAGGCCCCTCCAGCTTTCCGATTTACCACCGGACAGTCATGAAGAGCTGATTCTGAGAGATGGATGGGAGGCCTCCGCACGGTCCAGCAAAGAACAATGGAGACTGAGAGACTCTGCCCATACGAGATCTGAATTTTCTAGGAGCGCCTGACTATAACTTCCTCTCAAAGATTTGTCAGTAAGTGTTCTTTCTTGCTTCAGATTTATTTAAAAAACTCATTTTTGTTAGAACTGTCGCTGTTTGTTTGAATGATTTAGTCTTAAGATATGATCTTCTTGATGTATCTTTGTTTAAAAAGTTTGATATCTTGTTGGAACTGTGTGTTGTTCTTGCCTAGATTTTTCAGATTTCATTTTAAGATTTGTTGGAGTAGTTGTTGTTCTTCGTATATCACTCATCTAATATTTTTTATTTACGGAAAGACCAAGAGGATCTCTATCTTTGTGTTCAACATGTGAAATCCAGTGTGGATGAATTTATTGTGGATGGAAGCCCTCGTGGATGAGATGCATCATGGATAGAGGTATAGTGGATGGTTGTTTATGGTTTCATTATAGATGTTTTGTGGTTTTGGAACTGTGGATGAGATGCATCATGGATGGTTGTTTTGTTTCTTGTGGACAATCACACTGTTCCTGCATTTCTTTAACCATGCTTCACTAAGTATGATAGTAGTGCATCCCTATGTAATATATTAATGAATCGGTTATGTAATCTTTATGTGGACACCAATTTAGTTTTTATATCCACAATCTTGAATTAACATATGTGGAT